GTTCCCGGACAGCGAGGCGTTGACGTGCTGGCGGCGAGAAGCGAAAAGCGAACAGCTCTGCGCAAATAAAGAAGGGCAGCAGACATACACCCAGGAATCGGTGTGTTTTCTTTGTGTGAAATCAACATCCCCGGGTTTAAATCTACTTTGGGGTAGTCAGAGAATGGAACCCAGTACAAGGGTACATTTACATGTCCCAAATAAGTCAACTCGAAATGTGCGGGCTTTGCTTCCGGTTTCTACAAACATCCTTCGATCAGAAAATTTGGCTTACACAACTCCAGAAACCTTTCTCGGGCCTGGTGTTGTTTTTGGTTCCCTGCCATGGGTGCATTCTTGGGGCGAGGAGTGTTCAGCAAGCCTCTTAAAGTCATAGAGCCGCACTTATTCTAACCGCTCAAAACTGGAGGACCTAGACCAAAAAGGGGCGCCCCTTTTTTCGGCCCGGCTGGGCAAATTCGAGGCTAGCCCATGTCCTCCTGGCCCAAAATCGTGAATCCCTCCCTGTTGCGAGGAGACCCGTCTGATCCTCGGTGGCGACAAGGCCGATGTCCGGGAAAAACGGGGTTTGGGGGGCGGGGGAGGGAAACTGTGGATGGAACCCGGTCGACCTGGAAGCTCCCCGGTTTGGCCTCGGACCTGAGGTCAAAGGCATGCATATGCTCACAGTATACTGTGGATGGTTGCGAAATCCGCTTCTCGCACCACCTAAGAAACATGGTTGAAATAATTTTGTTTGTTGGTATTTACGTTGGGGAATCGAATCATTCCAGGGAATCTTAGGTGGTGCGAAATGGATTTCGCAACCATCCACAGAATGCCTTGTTGTTAGTTTTCGTTTTGAGGATGCTTGCTTTGAATTTGAGGGACACCAAAAGGACATCCACCATGTTTGGACACATTCTCACATACTTTGAGAAATCGAGGTCCCTTCAGAAGAAAGCATTCGGAACAGCGAAAAGAATCCAGGTGTTTGGGCTGTTGTCTACCTGTCTAAGTTGGGGGGGAGTTTGAGCACCTCACCGGTCAGGCATGGCTATTGGTCACAGGCGGTTCAGCTACCCTGTTTGGGGTAGAAAGGGCTAAGCTTAGTGAGACTGGTGCCAAAAGTCAAGGGGGTTGGGGAGCTGTGGTTGTTGATTTTAGAAAGAAATAGCCTATAGAATATTTGTCTTGTTTATTTTTATCTAGTAACCTTTTTTTGTCCGTTTGAACCCCCAAAGCCCCAAAGGTCAATGGGTATTGGGCGCTCAAAAACATGTCCTTTCCGCTGACCATCTGAGGAATGATTTCCGGGCCAAGGAAACTCAGGACTTAGCAAACGCCATTTAAACAGGGGGTCTCCCCCGCGCCCAGTTTTGGGGTGGCTTTAAACTTAACCTGTTGCGCCCATTGAGTTTCCCTCGTCAGATCCGGATGTGGCTTTCCTATTTCGCCTTTGTCGAGGTCTGTCAGGTCGATCTTTCATAAAATGAGACCAACAAAAGCTGAAGGCCTACATATGTCTGAATGGGCTGCGTTTTGCAAACCAAAACAGTTAAGGGGCAACAAGTTGGGGGTGTCTCAAAATTAGGGACCCTCAAAATGGCAATATGGTTTTCCTTCTGCATTTCCATTCTTTTTTCCGACCCCAAAAACAGGTTCCGTTTTGAGACAGGCCACGCCTATGTGTCAGTTTAGGTACACAAGCACAGACCCACACAAACACACCCTTGTCAATGGATTCCATTGTGGCACCCACCATGGAAGCCTTAGTCTTCTTAGTTTCCTTGTGAAAACATCTCAATGGTTGACAGATTGTAAAGTGTTTTTTTCTTCAAACTTTGAAGCTGACTTTCTCAGTTTGGAAGTTTTCTTCCAGCAAGCAAGGGGGAATGCTGGGGTTGGAAAATCCAGCAATTATAGGAGCCTCTTAAACTACTTGGGTGTTCGGCCAAGTTAGTAAGCTGTTGGTAACCGTTCGGTTATAACCCACTTCTAAGTCTCCCTAAGTGGGGTTAACCTTGCAATTAGCGGGGCATAGCTCACGCAACCACTTGCTAACTCGGCGAATCGAGCACAGAGCTCACTGCCCATGGGAAGCGGGCCAAAGTGTCGGCCAGGGCCGGCGGTGGATCTCCATCTCTGCAGCCCGGATCCCAGCTTCTCCGACTTGACATCGGACAGTCGGAACTCGGATTCGGTGCCCCATGGCGGTTTGGTCGTGGTTTGGAGGTTCAGCGCCATTGGCGCTGAGCACCTGCAGGCTCATGTCTATGCAATACTTATGCATGTTGTGATGCCTTCACGTTATTGTTTGGTTGAAACCATTTGGATGTTCCGAATTGATTCCACAAGTGAAACACTTTTGCAGAGGGGTCAACAGCAACCAAGCCCGCAGGTTTTCCTTTTTGTTGGTACCCACTTTACAGTTCTGCGCCGTGCAAAGGCAATCCTGAATCTTTGCCTTGGGTTGTCCCCTTTGTATTGGCTTCCCAAGATTGGCCAATACAATTTGGCCCCAGAAGGTACAAACCCTTTTCCAGGGTCTTGCTGCTGCAACTTCCCTTGGCGCTCGAGGAGCCACTTTCTTCCTAGCCTTCTACGGGTTGATTCCCAATTCTTTCCAGGGATCCTTCTTTCTAGAAAACCAGCAAAAACCCTGGGGAAATGGCTGGTTTTTCAAAAGAACGATGACTGAAAAGAATGGAACAGGAATGAAACCTCGCTTCGCTCGATTTCCTATGGCACGATTTTTTGACCAGCGGCCTCCTCTTTTTATGAGGTTTTTAGGGAATCAACCCTTAGAAGCCTTCGATATTCATGTCCACGTGTTCTTGGCGATCCATCTCATCCATGTTAAGGTCTAGTGGAGACTCCAAGTACTTAGCCCGCAGGTGAGCAATTTGGGCGTGTCGATTCTTGTTTGGCGCCCAAACAAATTGAGGTTAGTTTCAAGGGAATCCAAGAGGACATTGTGTGCCCATTTTGTTTTAGGTTCCCCTTTGGCCAGTTTTTGGGCGCGTCCATTTTGGGAAAGAGTCCGGTGAATGGAGTGCGTAAAAACACGGGGGGGATATTTTGAGAAGTCATGGTGAGATTTCGAGAAGCCATGCGCTTGAACCTCTTGCTTTCTGGAAATCCGCCCGAAGTCTATGATCGCCCAAGGTACCTAAGGAACCCGCTTGCCCTTTGGTGACCCCGATCTTTTAAGATTCCTCAATCCGGTTGCTGAATGACACGAAGATTACTTGGGTGTGCGTGTTTTTTTGAGGGCGCCCTCTGTTTCTATTAAAGAAAAAACAAAAAAGACAGAAAACAAAACACAACTTTTTCTGGGGGGGGTCCTCCCAACAAGAACACACCCACATCCTTTGAACTGCTTAAACAATGGCTTTCCCAACTAGTTGAGCGGACTTCCCAGTGGATTGCGATGGGAATTCACTTCCGCAAAGGTCAACGTCAGTGGTGAATGCCACGCAGAGTTGTAATTTGGGATCTGAACCACTCGCTGAGCGGGGTTGCTACAAATATAATATATATATATAGTATATACATATACACAGTACTATACACAATGCACACATACTTGGAAACATATATGTATATACACATATGCACACATACATATGCAATGCAAGTACATATGTATGCATTGCTGCATCTCATAACATATATACATACAGAACACATGCCGCCAACTTTTCTGCACAATAAGGCCACCCAGGGAAGAACACAACAATTAGGAGGTTTTACAGCCATGTAGTCACTTAGCGGCATTGCGTGCAACTATGCCGGTCACACACGTGGGTGTGTTTTAATTTATTTCAGGTACCCATTGCTTGTGGTTTTCAAGGGAAACCAAAACTAAACCAACAGTAAAACAGACCCGCGTAGCTTTGTTTGAGCCAGTTTTAGTTGGCTACCCGTGATGAAAAGCCACAACTGAAAAGCCGCATGCAGATTCCGGGCTTTTTTCGGCCATGGGAAGAGCACCCAGAGCTTCTCCAACTGGGATTCGGAAAAGCCACCTTTGGGTGTTGAAGGGAAGCCAACAGGGAAATTGAGAGCCCTCCATGTTTCTTTTCGGGTGGCGTTAAACATGACCTTTTGGTGGCCAATTCTACCTTGAGAACTCCCAATCCTATTTTGACCGTTCTTATTGTCAAGGGCTCTCCAATGGCTTGGGGGGGAAGCATGCAGTCATTTTGAAGGTGCATATCAAATCTCCAAATGGAAGACCCCAACATGAGTGGTGTCCCCTCGAACTTCCTTTCACCATCCCCCCCAAAAAAAGAACAAAAGAAAGAGAGAGAGAGAGAGAAAAAAAACAGAACACTGCATGCTATAGGTTGTCTGAAAATAGGGGACCCTCAAAACTGGTTGTTTCCTTCTGTCCACACAAAGGGCACGATCAAGAAAAGGCGCGCCATGATCCTTTTAGATTCAAAGCATGGTTCGCTCAATTTTCCACCTCCCGGAGGCTGGTACGTCTACTGCGACACACTGGAAAAGTGGACTCAGCGCAGGCGGGATCGTTTCGCGAGCAGGCGGTCGGTTCTTTGATCGGGCAACCCAATCCGCAAGTCGCTCACAAGGCAAATTCCACTTTGCACCACTTGGATTTCGGTGGTTTCTCCCATTCATCCTGTTGGCTTCTCAAAAAGGGCGGAATCGGTCCATTTCCTGTCATGGCAAGGGCTTTCGTTTGGTTCCCCTTCAGATGCCAACCCGAAGGGGGCTTTTTTCGAATCAGGCGGGCCGATCAGTCTTGGAGGTTTCAAAGGTGCAGGTAACTTTGGCCCGAAATGGTGTCGGGGAATGTCGCACTTGAGTTCGGCTCGATTTTGATTCACCAAAGCACCCAAAGCGACTCGTCCTTTTCTAACCGGGTTTTCAGTTAGTTTAGTCAAAGTTCCAGCAGCTTAACTTCTTTCATTTCCAGGTGCCTGAGGGGCAAGTTGAAGTTGAGACCCGTCAAAAGAGCCACTGACAGTTGTCCCTTGGTTTCCCTGTAAGTCCAAAGGGGGCTTGAACAGACAGGATACACGGTGGAACCCTTAAACCAAGACCCAAACCCTAAAACTTGAGCCCCAAACCACCCTAAACCAAACGCCCAGAGCCTAGACCTTAACACCCTAAACCCAAAAATCTGCCACCGGCCAAGTATGGCTTGCTGGTCATCTGACTTGGACAGACCATGATGCCCTGGGGGGTGCCGGCAACCGCTCTGGGTAGAATTGGCCTTCCCCCCTTTGGTGAATCTGGAAAAGGGCTCTTCACCTCCCCTGACACGGGGCTTCACTTTAGGGCAAATGGTACTCCTTAGGTGCTACGAAAAATCGGCTTTTTTTACTGACCACCCCACCGAAGCGAGTAGATCATGAAGCCTGGGCACCACTCGGAAAGGCGACCGGCATTCAGAAAACCTTGGGGGCGGGGTAAGAACAAATTGGGACGGCTTCCCCCGAACGCCACAAGGACCATGTCTTCCAGGAACATGTCTTTTATGATTAAAAGCACTGTTAAGGCATGGATGAAGTTGTGAGTCCTTTCAAGATAATATTTGTGTCCAACATACCATCCCCTTGTCAACTCCAATTTCGCAAGACCTTGGAATGATCCAAGATGCTCCGGACAAACTCAAATAAGCTCATTTGGAGGGTAACACGGGCTATGGAATTCCATATGTTCGTCTTGTGAGTTATCCTTCGGCTTGCGCAGATCTTTCCGACAGAATCAGCCCACCTAACCATCCTCCGGCGGGGATCCAGACCCGTCCTAAACCACGCTGAGTCCGCCCGATTTTTGGCTTCAGTTGCAAGCCTAGCAATGGGTCAGTGAGTAGGTTGACCCAGTTTATAACCAATCCCATTCCACCGTATAATTTGTTGACCCCGTTTCTAATCCACCTCTCCTAGAAGCAGGGGTGGGATCCATCCAAAAGTGGTCTGAAGCCCCCGCTAGAAGGCGACACCCCTTGATCAAAATCAACTAGGGAGTTGTAAATCCGTGGTTAACGTTAAGGTTGTCTGGCTGTGGGTCAAAACTAGGCACCCCAAAACGGCTTGGCCTGGTAAATGCAACCAAGGACTAAAACCTGCGGTCCATATCCCGGTGCTGAAAGATGTTTACCCATACCCGTCTCCTTCGGAGCACAGAAATGGGGGTTGATCAACATTCCTAGCCTCCAAGCAACCATGGGTCACTTTTCCCATTTAGTGGGAAACACCTAATATTCTTGGTTGTCCAACCAATGGTCATCCCATGTATTTGAAGGACCTTGTGATCAACCCCCAAATCCGATCGAGGATGCCGCTGATCTCCTACTACGGCGGCCATCCTCTGAACTCCTTCCCGGTGCGCAGCCTGGCGGCAACCAGCGAAAACGCCGGCTGAAATATGTCACGTCTCCTTCAGGTGTTGCCTTGCAGGCGTTGTGTATTTACAGCGACCAATCGGTTTCTTTATTCCGTATGTCCTGGCCTCCATCTTGGCGGTTGATCCTGTCCCAATCCTGGTTCCGGTTGATCCCAAGCGCAAAGCCCAGTCACAGACCGCAGAACCATACGAGCCCCTGGACAGTTGGGCGCGTTTTCTGAGAGCCTGTCGCTTTGGTTGTAAGCCACAGGGAAACCGAAGTCGAGGTCCATCCAGGTCCAGCGGCTTTTGGAAGCTCTGGGAAGCCTTCGGGTCGGCTCCCCACCGTGGCTTTGGGCAAGTTGTCCAAGTCCCAAGTCCCGTCAGCTTCCCTCACCAAACCCCAAAATCCCCAAACCAAACCCCAAGCCAATCCAAAATCCAATCCATGAGGTCCCAGCTTTCTCACAGTCACGATCGGGAAAATCGATGACTTTTCATGGCGTCTAAATCCAACCCGATGGACGGGCATCTTTGTAAAGGGAGCCCCCCCAAAAAAATAAATGAATAAATAATTGGAGAGAGCTCTTTGTGTTTCCTTCCTCGGTACCCACCAAAGATTGACAGACCTACGCTTGAATGGAAAACCTGACCTCCGGCGTAAAACATCGGAGTGTTCGATGTCGGGCAACGCATTGTGAGCGCCAGGTTTCCCTGGTCTCAGTGGCGTGGGTGTGTCCTTTGATCGAGTGCCCCAAAATATGGTAAAGCCGGATGGAATTTTGTCGGCTGGAAAAGGTCCAACGGTCCAACTCTTTTGGTTGGTATTCGCAGCCAGGAAGCTCCAACAAGAAGCCAAAGATGTTTGGGACCGATGCCCGTTTTGAGAAACACGCCAACTTTCTTCCATTGTTTCAGACAAGGTGTTTTTTCTTCTTGTTTTTCTCATTTTCCGCTGTTGACTATGCCATGCTTGGCGGTTCCCAGCCGTCCCCTTAGGTGTTTAGTTGTTTTTGTTGGTTTGGCAGTGTAGTGGTTGGGTTTCCGAATTTAGCCCATTTAGACAAACTTTTAGCAGGGGATCAGAAAAGGGACAGCCCAGCATGTTTGAAAGGAAAATCGGACCGGTTCTTAGGCGATGGCCACACCACCGTGGAGGAGGATGGGGGTTTGATCGAGGTGAGCTCGCAAGGCGGTCCGATTCCGGAGAGAAGACCATGTGGATCCACTAGAGGGTTCCCACCCAAAACATGAATGGACAAGTGGTTGGAAGGGCTACAGTGCCTGCGATCTGGGAAATGGCCCAGCTTCTGCTTTAAGCTTCTTCAGCTTACGTTTTTTATTTTTATTTTTCAAAAGTAGGTGCAGGGTTATTGGGGTAGGGACATCGAGAGTTGAGAGCGCCGAAACCCTTTCGGGTTTGAGTCGGGATCGCCCCGACCCGAAACCGGGCCCGCGGTTGAACCATCGCTTCGGTTCGGTTCCTTGGGCTTTCACGGTTCGGTCCCGCGGAGTTGAGCCGATTTTTTGTTTTGAGGTTTTTTCGAGTTTTTCCTTTTGTCTTTCGAGTTTTTTTGTTTCTTCCACTGAGAAGTGAGTTTCTGGACTTTGGAGCTTTTGGGAAGGCCATTGTGGCGGTAAACAAACAGTTTTTCGTTGGGCCATCCACTCGAGAAGTGAGGATTTGGAGCATTTGAGTGGACAAACGTTTGGTCATTCTGTTTGGTCAGTTCCACTCGGGAAGCGAGTAGGTCTTCGTTATTTTTGGTTGGAGAACACTTGTAATTTGACAGATGTCATGCGTCTTTAAACCCAGCTTCACCATCAAACTGCGCATGTGAAGGAAGCCCATTGGGAAGCCAGAAGGTAAAAAGACACATTGGCAGCAGTCCCAAAAGAATGTTCTGACTTATCCAGTTGTTTGAACTGTCAACTTGAAATTCTATTTGACTTAGTCTAAATAGTTTGGTGATGGTGGGGAGCCTCAAGAAGTTCCTTGGATTTGAAGCGTAGCGAATTGAGAAGCCTTCTCACCAGCATTTCCCAAAACTTTTCTTGGGGTCCAGCACAGCCGCCGAATGCCCCCCGCACTTTTCGGGGAAGCTTCTGACGGGGATTTCAGCAACCCGAAACCAGCCGAAAAAGAAACGAAGTCCCATCGATCGTGGTGGTAAGCCCAGTTTCCAATAGCTCACGGGTCCAAGGAGCAGAAGGTGTCTTGCCCTTCACTTCCGAACAGAATCCAGTGAAGCAGCAATTCGAGAATCTTGTTGTTGCTAGGTGTTTCAATCGTTTTGGTCAAGCCGCGACAAGTGTGAGTGCAACTTCTACCTGAACAACTTGGCAGGCTAGTTGACTGAACCAACCGACAACACGCATCCACGTCACAGAATCTCCTTTTGTCACAGTAGTGTTCCTTAAAATAGGAGGGGCGGCCCTGACAGTGTCGGATTGGACACCCTGTAAACACCAACTTACAAGGAGTCCACCATTTGGAGAACTCCCACATCACACAACCTTGACAGATGCAAGCTGTTTCAAATTCAAGCAAATCTGTTTGATCGCGTTTGGAAGTTACAAGAGAGCACACAAAACTCATTTGGGTGTGTCTTTTGTAGAGGACCCCCCCCCAAATGGGTGTTCTCCTTTTGGTTTCCCTTTAAACCAACCAACACGGGGTACCGACAATAAAGACGAGCTACACATTTTGGCTGGCATGTTCGAGCACGCAAGCAGTGAGCAATCACTGGCCGGTTCCAGCCTTGGCCTGAGAACCTGCAAAGGGGTTAGAGACTGGGATGAGCAAACCGGAAGCTTTGGAAACACGACAAACTTGGGATTGTCCGCAACGAGCAAACTTTGGTGCATGTTGCTTGGATGTTAGGACTTTCACTTTTTGCCAACTAATGGGTTTCCATCCATCCATCCATCCATCCATCCATCCATCCATCCATCCATCCATCCATCCATCCATCCATCCATCCATCCATCCATCCATCCATCCATCCATCCATCCATCCATCCATCCATCCATCCCACGAAAAGTTAAACTTTTAGCAGGGGAGCAGAAAGCAACCGAGCAAAGTACTGCTTTTTTTCTATCTTGGGCAAGCATGGAAGTGGCAACCATGTCATAGCCAAATCGAAGATGAGATGAAGCAGGCATGGTTTCAACCAACTTTGCCCTTTTACCCTTTGCGACCGGGGAGGCTGTCCACCTTGGCACTTTACCATGGAAAGTGCTCCTCTTTCGGGGATCGCAGGGGATGAAACTTTTCCCCCCAGCTAGGTGCCCCTTCTCACCCCTTTTTTGGGGGAGGGTTCCGCTACTAAAATAGACTACCGAAAAAAGTTGGTACCCTTATTCTAACCTCTGTACTGGAGGACCTAGTTTAAAACCAGAGCAGGTAAGTAGGGAGGTCTGATCCCAAGTAAGCACACCTTCTGAGCCGGAGCTGGGGTCCTTCGGTGAGATTTTTTGCAACTCACGTCCGGAGCGCGGCTGAAAAACGCTGAACCACAGACCGCTCCCAAATGACCAGCGCCCAAACCCCTTGGCCAGTGTGGCGGGTTCGGAAAGCTGCCTCATTCATACGGGTGATATATATATATATATATGCCGGAACCATGGCAGAAATGAAGTCAACGGGTTTTCGGCGGCCTTTACCTGGAGCGGAGAGCAGCCAAAGTTGCTTTTTTTGCTAAACGTTCAAGCGTCCACCCACACGGACGCCGACTACACTGTGCTTCCCTCAGTCTTCAGAATGCCGGATGGTTTGGGTGTCATATGGATCCCAGATGAATATGCCCCTGGTTTGATAGGGGGTGTCCCCTTTTACTGGGGAACCCTTGACTTTTGGAGGGCCCCCCAAAAAATAGTAAAAGGAGAATTCAAAGAATTATTATTTCTACTATTTTTTTCCAGCAGCAACACAACAAACAGAAAACAAAATCCAGAACAACAAGCAAACAAAATAAATAATCACAACCAGCAACAAAAATATTTAATCACAGCATACAACATTAAATAATTCAAACAAGCATGCCAACAAAACAGCAACACACTAAACCATCAAAGACACTCAACTCAAAAACACACATCAACAAAAAACAAAGCAACATACCAGCAAAAAATATCGCAAGAGTATCAAACAAAATGAAAGCAATCAGCCAAAGCACGAAAAAACTGAAGAAGCATACCAAGTCTAAACAACGCACTTTGAAAGAGACAAGCAAATTAGGAAAATATAATAATTCAATCTTTACAAACGATAAGTATAATAAAATTATAACATATAATATTTCACATGTTATTATTATAATATGATTAAACCTATTTTCAGTGTTTCCAGTCTCTTATGTTGTTCCAAGAACTGCTTAAGATGTTTCTGATATTATACCAACAATGCATTGTTGTCATTCCTCCTCTTTCATTAATACTATTACCATTACGTTTAACGAGTTCTTCTTTCATTATGTTTTCGTAAATCTCTTTTATCCATTGATGATTTTGTTCTCCATACTCAGCGAACATATCTAGATATATATCTTTCATTGTTTTATCGTTTTTAATTATTTCAATGACTTGTTTATACGATGGATAGGGATTATCCTTAATGAAACTCAATATTATCTTTCTATCCTGTTCCAGCTCTTTTTCTGTCACTCCTATCATTGGCATTTTCCTCTTATTATATTAAGTCTTTATTCCTTTAAGTCATTTTACATTATAATTATAACATGTAAGGGTATAAATGTTATTATTATAGTATGGTTTTAATCAAAATGGGTTGAATTGAACCACCGAAATGAGCCACATGAGGCAGTGGCAGGCTGTGTGAGCATGTGATGAAACCCTTTCCCCAAAAAGGGGAAACCCTTCCCCCTTTCCCCCAAAAAGGGGAAGCCCTTCCCCCAAAAAGGGGAAGCCCTTCCCCCAAAAAGGGGAAGCCCTTCCCCCAAAAAGGGGAAGCCCCTTCCCCCTAATTCAAACTCACCAAGATTTCACAAATTAATTCGCTAGGTATTTTGTATAAATCTTCCTGTTTATGAAATACTGGATTGTCTCTCCATGCTGCTTTGGTGCCCGATGGAAGCCGTTGTGCAGTTTCAATATGTTTATTATTCCTGATGTTGCCACAATCCTTTTTGCATAAATCTCTAGGTTTCCAGGTTGTAATGTTATTCCAGAGCCTAGTGCGTTTTCTGTAAGGCATTCCATATTTACAATAATCAACATCTTTAAAATCAAACTCATCCATAAACTCCTGATTTTTTAATAATCCAGTTTGTGGATTTTCGATTACAAAATATTTAGGATTGAAATATTTGATAATCTCAATAGTTTTTAAGACAATATTATTTGCATATTCGATATTCCTAATTCCCCTAGTTTTTGCTATGCTGTATTCAGTGCATGGGGGACTACTCCAAATAAAATCAAAATGGTTTCTGTCAAACTGTTTGTAATCCCACTCCAAAATATCAGTGTTGATATCAGCATTTTTGAAGTCTAATGATATTACATTAAATCCAAGCGACTTTGCTATGGTTCCGACGCTTTTTGTTCCACTAAATAATTCTAATAAATTCATTTATTAGAATTATTTAGATATTAATTATTCAAATAATACATATACTCCATCATCATTTTTTGAAATTTTATAAAATTCTAAAGTGGTGCTTTTAGGTTGTTTGATTTTTCCTGTATTCAACATATCACAGTATTTCTTTTGCTTTGTAGGGTAGTCGCCCGATGGTCCTCCTATAGATTTTGCTTGAAATATCTTTTCGATTTTCTCCTTCTCTTCGTTGCTTTGTTGTTCGCGTTCAACTGGTTTAAGTTTTTCATCAATGGATTTAATCATATCATTTAAGTTTTTGATATTTTTCCAATTAATGTCATCTTCTTCATTAATTCATTAATAGTATAATTTTCATTTTCACACATTACTATATATTTATTTAGATAATTATTTATTTATTGAATTATATATTTATAAAGTGCAATTATGTTAAATTTACTCTTTAAATACTAATTTTTCATCATTTGTTTAACAGTTTCCTGAGTTTCCTTATCACCATTTTCCGAGAGTGATGCATCCTTACCCCATTTAAAAGTTATAGTATGGACATGAGTTTCTAAGTTGATACTGTCTTTA